TGAGCGTCAGCCATCCTTTCACTCCAACTATGCCAACTTTGGTGTATGTGTGTCTTTCAGAACAATATTTATGACGAGTTTAAAACACATACTGTCAATCGTTTTTCTCCCCTCTGCTGCTCCAAAACCAATCGAAAAATGCTCTGATTTTCATCGACTTTAGGTCGGTCTGGAGGGTTTTTAAGGAAAAGTTTTAATCCTACTGTAATTCCGAAGACATTGTGTGGGTCCAGAGATTTCAGTCTACAAACTGACCAAAAATGGTGACTCTAGCTATAAATATGTGGCCGTGAGGGCGAGTTTAAAATGTTTTTTGGTCTTAAAAAAACGGCTGCCTCACACTCTAGCTTTTCAGTTGCTCCACTCTAGGAGGCAGGATTTTGCTAAAACTTTGTGGCGCTTGAGGTCTGATTATACAAAAACCGTAGCAGTTATCAACATGCCGTCTTCAGTTTTAAATAGACGAAGGATTTATCTACAAACTGAGCTTTAAACTGTTTTTCTAGGTGAATGTATGGTGACACAGTGAAATGCTGTTTTTTATGCTTTTTTTTCCCTCTCCCCATTCATTTCCTATGGGATTTTTTTGCGACGTTTTCGCTAATAATTCGCAAACCTTCGGACTAATGAGAAAGTTTTATACAAGCACGCATCGCCCCATTGGTCCCTACGCGTGTGCCAACTTGGGGCCTGATCCGACGAATGGTGCGTGACTAGTTACGCGCCGAAGTTTTTAGGGGACGAGGAGAACTATAAGCTATAATAATAATACGCGGAATAAATATGTGCAATAGTAATAGGTGGGCCATGCCTTCGGCATGTGGCCCCCCTAATAATAATACGCGGAATAAATATGTGCAATAGTAATAGGTGGGCCATGCCTTCGGCATGTGGCCCCCCTAATAAATATGTGCAATAGTAATAGGTGGGCCATGCCTTCGGCATGTGGCCCCCCTAATAATAATACGCGGAATAAATATGTGCAATAGTAATAGGTGGGCCATGCCTTCGGCATGTGGCCCCCCTAATAATAATAATACGCGGAATAAATATGTGCAATAGTAATAGGTGGGCCATGCCTTCGGCATGTGGCCCCCCTAATAATAATACGCGGAATAAATATGTGCAATAGTAATAGGTGGGCCATGCCTTCGGCATGTGGCCCCCCTAATAATACGCGGAATAAATATGTGCAATAGTAATAGGTGGGCCATGCCTTCGGCATGTGGCCCCCCTAATTAAAGTGGGGGTGTATGAATGAATTTCAACCTATATGGAGTAACTGTGCAAATTAGAGGATATTTAAAACATATTCACATTTCTGCTCCCAATTCAATATTCCTTGAAGCTGTTGGTTTTGTGATCTATACACCCTAATATCACATCCTTGTAAGAAACTCTGCAAAGAAGGACGGCTTGTACCTTCAGGGAAGCTGCAGGCAAGTGGTGTAGCCGGGTCAGAGACATCAGTTCTGAAAGGAGCTTCTGTCTCCCTGGCAGATCGTGGTGAATCCATCGAAGAAGAGACCTCAAAACTGCCTCCTCACTGGGAACGTTCAGAGCATCAGACTTTAGGCAAGCCTTTAAGACATTTTCCTAAATACAAGAACAGAATTGATAAAGACATTTTACAACAAGAAAATTGAGAATTTGTCCTGAAGGATTTTTAGGATAAAATACATCATTATACACGCCGTAAAGACTGGGGCTCTAAATTTCAGAAGAATAGAACTGATGCACTTTCAGCATGAATGCAGCATCCTTATTTGGGTTTACCTGCATGTCCAAGAACTCCTGTGTTTCGGACAAATCAAAATAGTTCCCAATCACAAACTCTCTGGCACTTTGAAGAAGAGAGGCAGAGCCATATGCCTCTGCCAGGGACGAGAGGGTTAGACAATTACAAAGATCCATTGTTCCAACAAGGAAGTCGCTACATGCCCTGGACAGGACAGGGACCTGAAGACAGAACAATTGAGATTCAGGTTTATTTATCCTAAAGAATGGAAACTTAAAGGTTAGACCAAACAATGACATTCAGCTGAAGGTGGGAAGCTCTAAATCGACACAGGTTGTACATGAACCCAAGGCAGGTACAAGAATGAATGACCACAAATCTAAACCTGACGTAGAATAACATGTAAGACAGGACATCTAATGGATGCTTTGTTACCTGCAGGAAAGAGGCGAGCTGGAACAACACATCAACGTTGCCGTCAGTGATAAGAATCTCTCCAGAATAGGCAAAATCCAGGAAGGAACCCATTGCCTTGGGGCACTGATTAGCAAGTGTTACGAAGCCATCATCACGCTCTCGCATATCAACTTCAAACATGGCCCTAAACACAACAGGAGTGCATGCTGTCATGTTAGCAAATGTGCGAACACAAGGACTGTTTGAATTTGGTCTAATACTGTATTCAGGTGCTGTGTATTCAAACCCTCTGTTCTAATAACCCTAGGAAAGACTTTAACTTTAACCACAGGGAGAGCGAGAGGTGTTGGTTGATAGTAATCAATGTAACATTTTCCTAATATTTTGCAGAAACTCTCTGAACACATGGAAAAGCATCATGGACCGTGAAGCATCAGAAGGTAGATTTACCTTCTAGCAGAAAGAATTTAGTTATAATATTAACATGAGTTCATGTCTAAATTCAAATTTAGAAATAGGTTTGGGGTTTTGCAAGCCTAGAAAATAGCTACATACATACATACATACATACATACATACATACATACATACATACATACATACATACATACATACATACATACATACATACATACATAAATACATAAATACATACATACATACATACATACATACATACATACATACATACATGCATACATGCATACCTGCATGTATGCATGCATGCATACATACCTGAAGAAATCACTGCATGCTGCAAGAACACATCTGTGACAGGGGAACTGATGATCCTGAACTATGATGGTGAAATCAAACAGCAAACCTTGCTCCCTGAATGATCTGAGCATATCAAGGAGCTGCAGTCCCTGAGACTCAGCCACTCGCAGCTGCGTCTGCCTCTCTGGGGTCCCATTACTTTCTGGGGTTTCCCTGGGTTTACTAACTGAAGGGATGCTGCTGTTGTGAGAGAAAGTCAAACTTGAACACAGCTCTGGATGTTTATTCATATTTCCAGAACCTGAAATTTGACAAAAAGGACATTAATGACAGCATGACACAATGCAAAATGGCTTATAAATGTACAACAAAAATAAAGCATTTATATTTCACACTTTGGTATCCTGGTTTGGCGAATTTAAAACATTTTAAGCCTCTTCTGTCTAGTTAGAAAATCGGAGATTCCAGCAACCACGGGTCTTAGTCGTTCTGAATGAACCAAACCTAATCTGAACTATCCTAAAAATATAACATAACATAAAAACACAGATTACATGTTTTTACTGTTTCAGAAAAGAATAACTGAAAAATTACCGCAGGCTCCGTAATCTAAAAAGGCATCTCTGTCAGCACCTCGGACAGCTCTCCTCACATACCCCTTCTAAATCCCGGAAACGCCAAATCACGCGATGATTCTAAAGGGTTATCTATTTTTTTTTCTTTCTTCAATGATCAAACGCTAAAAAGAGCGTTATTTCAAACGCGCGAACAACTCGCTTGGTTCAGTCCGCGATAGCTAGCTAAATACGTCATATGGTATGGTTAAAGCCATGAGACCAATGTGTTGCGTTTGTAAAATAGGAGACCGCAAAGGCCAGTGGGAATTGTAGTTATCTATAAGTGATAGTCCAACGTACTCTTAACTTCAAAGCGAAGCGTGTATACCTAAAATTCTGGAGGCAACATCCATTTTTAAGTGAAATATTTTCACTTTAATTCCTAGAAATAAAGTTAAACTTAAGATCTTCACCCAGTGCACACAGTACAAACGTAATAGCATACTCCAAGTAAAGGAATAGCTTAGATTAAACCATCTTATAAATAATAAATAAATTTTCATTTGATTTATTTGTGTTTTTTGTCATACAAAATAATTTTTTCTTCTTCTGATTTTACCAATATGAATTGGAAATAGGTGTGATGAGTAGTTAATGATGAATGTGCATCGGTTTGGATTAGACCAGTATATAAATTATTTACTTTTAATGCAAACCATCACTGTCGATTAAAGGGATGTTTTACAAACAAGAGAAATAAAGAACCATCATTTAGCGTGTGTTTATTTAACAACAATAATGCAATGTTGGAAATTTGTAGTATTTTTTTTCATTAATATGCTCATGTAAAGTGAGCCAGAATTTTTTAAAAGAAAAACAACAAACAAACAAAAAAATAATAATAATAAACAATCCAAATCCTTAAAAACAGGATTCTCTGTCATTTCTAACAGAAAAAAAAACTGCACAACAAAGGCACAATAAAGCAGATGTATATTTTTATAAGGACAAAATTCAACATGTTTAGTTGTTTATCTATAAAATAAAGGAACTCAATTTGCATCTATTGTGTTGACACAGGCATGTCTTAAAGACATAAAAACTCGGATGACTCTTAACCTTCTGCTCTTGAATGCAAACAAAACAGAAGTGATAGTCTTTGGATAGTCTTTGAAAAAGAAGCTGATTAGTCAGTCACATCATTTGGATGGGATTAAACTGATCTCAGATAATAAAGTAAAGAGTTTTGGTGTTGTTTTTGATCAGGACATGTCATTTAAATCCCATATCAAAGAGGTTTCTAAAATGTCCTTCTTCCATCTGCGGAATATTGCAGAAATTAGAAATATCCTGTCCAGGGGTGATGCTGAGAAACTAGTCCATGCATTTGTTACTTCAAGGCTGGACTATTGTAGTTCTTTACTATCAGGAAGTCCACAAACTGTAAGTAAAAGCCTTCAGCTGATCCAAAATGCTGCAGCCAGAGTTCTGATGAAAATTAAAAAGAGAGATCATATCTCAATCTGCAGGTTTACTAGTGGTTCCTAGAATTTCTAAAAATAGAATGGAAGGCAGATCTTTGAGTTATCAGGCTCCTCTCTTGTGGAACCAACTACCAGTTTTAGTCAGTGAGGCAGAAGCCCTGTCTACTTTTAAGGGTGGGCTTAAAACCTTCCTTTTTGATAAAGCTTATAGTTAGAGTGGCACAGGTTATCCTGAGCTATCTCTATAGTTATGCTGCTATAGGCTTAGACTTCTGGAGGACATAGGGACCCCTATTTCATCATTCTGCTTCATTCTATCTCATTTCTTTCACTCTGCAGAATATATTAGTTCAATCTCTAACGTTATGCTCTCTCTGCTTTTTCTCATAGTAGCTTTGCCTCGTCTTTTCCTGTTTGGCTGTGACACAATCCTGGAGAGGAATATCAGCTGTGCTGCTGCAATCAACACCTTTGTTTATAGATGTTCAAGATCTGCCTGTTTTTCAGTCTAGTCCTGTTTCTCGGATTGTGACTGGCTGGATGTACTTTCTTCATCCTCTGACATGGGAGCTGGCTCGAAGCTTGTCTGTCTGGCTGTGTGTTTCCTGGACGGGGCCGCCTTTTACAGCTGCTTTTTGTATCTCTGCTTCTGTCTCCTTGAACCCCAGTCGGTCTCGGCAGATGGCTGCTCACGCTGAGCCTGGTTCTGCTGGAGGTTTCTTCCTGTTAAAAGGGAGTTTTTCCTCTCCACTGTCACTACAAGCATGCTTAGTGTGAGGGATTGCATTCGAGTCAGTGAGTGGATGCAATCAACTGGTTTTCCTTAGATAGAAAACTTTGAATCAATCTGACTGTGTGATCTAGTGAACTGTAAAGTGCCTTGAGATGACATGTTTTATGAATTGGTGCTAAATAAATAAACTGAATTGAATTGTTTATTTATTTATTAATCACTTATAGATAACAGGAACGTTATTTTTGTTTGTTTTTCATTATTAACTTACTTTGATTAAACATTCTCAATATCAAAGCTCTGATTTTAGCGTTGCTCTGAAATGCACCACTGTCATCTTTACTTGTTAACTCTTTCACCACTAGATGGCGCTGCTTCGCTGTTGCTCATGCCTGGGGGAAAGTGTGGACTTCTAAAGTGTATGGTGAAAAAAAAAGTGAGTTTAAACTACTACACTTCTGATAATGTTGCATTTTCATTTCATCACCTTATCCATCGCTACTTATGAAGGAACCCTGTATGCGTAAAGATTAAAAACCCTTCCGGCAAAATTTGAAAAAAATTAATAAATTAATAATCAATATGAATTATTAGTAACATAGTAGCAGCGCATTAAAAAAACATTGATAACTTAATTTAAAATGTTTTTTTTTATTGGCACTGCCTTGACCAGGTGACTATTATTATTATTATTATTGTTAAGAATTATTTTCCATCTACAATGCAAACAATGATTTTATCAGTCTATTCTGTGACACCATCACCACTATATTATATCTCTGGGTCGTGCCCCCTCCTCGCTCCTTTGCATCCCTGCATCTTTCCGTCCCTCCCCCGTCCTCCTCTCTCCCTCCCTCCCGGGCAGTGCATCCCCATCCCCCACACACAGTGGCCGTCTCTCCGGGTGAAAGCTGTCTTCCCTGCGCTACTGCCCCGACCAAACGTTGCTGTAGCAGAGACAGTCGGCACCGATCCAAAGCAGAGCAGACCCACAGGAGAAAGATAAATACGCAAGAAATATCGTTTATTTGTTCCACCGACTGGTTTTGGTAAGTTTAAGTGCACCGCTTATTGTAGATTGGAAGAATAGCTCTTGTGTAGACTTTTTAAGTTTTTTTTTCTCCCCCCAGTTTATCTTCCCCGTATCCCTTCAATTGTCCGCCGCGAGGAGCTAGCGAGCTATGCTAGGCTAAACGGCTAGCTGAAATAGCGGGATCAAAGAGTTAGCGAGTCGTTTGGTGTTATTCACTTTGAGTTATTATTGGTCAAGCTTCATGGTTGGCCTATTTGTGTTGTGTACAGTTATCAGTCGATACGAGTTGTTGTTATTGGATTTAATTATAATTTAAATTTCCCCAAAGCTAGGTTGCTAATTAGCGTTTTGAGCAGTGTGTGCGGATGGATGCGGTGATGCAGCGGTGGAGCTCGCGCTCGTCTTTTCAGTTTAGCTTTCTTGCTAGGTTAATGCTAATGTTATATGACTCGCTCCGTTTCCTGCGTGGACTGCTTCTGAGTGGGTTGGATCGCGGTAGCCAATCTAGTGATAATTGGCAAGATGGCATCTCGGGGTTGTTATCGAGAAATCTGTGGATTTTTCAAAATGGTGTCTTAAGCCTGTTTGAGTGTGATCTTTTTTCAACCATTGTTGTTGTTGGCTTCTCTTTGCTGTTTGTGGTATGCAGCGCGGTGCCAGCGCATGTTTGCCATGCTCCGATTTATAGACATGTAAACCGCCGATGAGGTGGTAAACAGAAATGTTTGCAAGCTACGCGGCGTCCCCCCGGGCTACCGGCTTTGTCATTTATGACAACAAGCGTGTTTTTGGAGTTTGACTTACGGCTTTCTAATTTCTCTGCGGGCTCAGATCAGTCAGTTTATACAGTAAGCTGCAGAGTTTCTTCACTGCAGTCTGCTTTAGGTGTTTTTCTTTCTTTTTTTTTTTTCTACCTGAGCGCATCTTTTGGACACGATTTGTCTGTAGAATCTGTTTTTTATTCTTTATTTGATAGAGCTACTGCTGATTTATGGAGATCTCTTTAAAGCTATGCAGACATGTGTTGACAAAAGCCACCAACTCTTGGTTTCCCTTTGTTTAGAACAAAGCAGATATTTGACAATTTCACATAAGTGCATTCTATATTGTGATGATTTTATGGTGAATGGGGTTCTATATTATAATAATACTTATTTTGCATTATGAGAATATTTGCTGGTTATTTACCTGGCCATCTTACGGTGTGATTAACCAGAAAATAAGAATTTAAGTCACACTTTTCAACCCATTGACCAAGTTGGAGAATTCATACAAATGTTATGAAATTTCGATGATTCAAAACGTTCACATTTTAGAGTCCATGGCAAGCAGTCCATGCCTATTTCTTGTTTTAAAATATTTTCTTACTGATACTTTTATCAGTAATCTGTTTGCTTATTAAATTGAGAAATGTTTTCGATTTCTATATTGTCTTAATTTCAGGAGATTATTATTATAGTATCTGCATTATGTCTGCATTCTAAACAAACAAGATAATATAGATCTTGCTCAAAATTGAATCAGACATAAGTAAATTAAATGCAATAATTACTTTCTTTTTGGAGCTCGGCTGCTGGGTTTTTGCAGAGAATAAAGTCACAGTCAATGCTTGTGCTTAATATTGATGTATTGGCTGACTTGGTTTTGCCACGAGCCTAAGGTGACCCCTGTTTGACAGATTGTAGGGGGGGGGGGGGCAGAGGCAGACTTGAGTTTAGATTGTCGGTGGGCTGTAAAAACGTCAGACTATTAAAAGCCTCAGTCTGGACTCCCCCTTCTGACTTCATCAGTCATTCTCCGTGTGATTTGAACAGCTTAGTGATTTACTCATTACTGGTGAGTAAATAAAAAAACAGATGGCTGTGAACTAAATTGTACTTCCCTCTGGTTCACCTTGTCCAACTCTCAGGCACTCAACCAGATCATTTTTTAGTTTTCTTTTTTAAGATACCAGATGGAGGAATTTGAGATGTTGTACACTCTGTGAACAGTATGTGCAAACTGAAAATGTGATTTCACTGAGGTGTTTATTTATTTGGTCGTATTGTCTTCAAAATGGGGTAGTGATATTAAGAAAAAAATATAAAAAAGGAATGAGGGAGATAAGGAGATTGGTTATGCGTTTTAATTTGATAGGGGACATTATACAATGATGGTTACTGTTCTCGACTGCTTAGATTGAACATTTTTGTGGGATATGAGCTGATACAGCAGAGCTCTAACACTTTTACATGCTTGACAAAATGTGTAAATATAATTTTTTCTATTTTTGATTTGTTATTTAAAAATTGTAGCTTTTGATTAGAAACATATTGTAGTTGTGCACTTGTTTAAACTTTTTAAAGTGGTAACTTCAGTCCGGACATAAAAAAAAAATTTCTAGTCAGTTGCGCACATTTTAATGTTCCAAAACATGTTGCATGGAGTCACTGACATCCCTGTAATTCGTCCTCCTAGACAAGAACAAGGAACAGTAAACAGTCACTTCCACAGACTCCATGAGTTTCCATGACTGCCTCATACTAAGCAAAGAATTAACAACTTGTGCCCATTCAAATATTGATCAATTCTGAATTCTTTTGAAAGGCTTATCTATCTGGCCATAATGGGGTTAGGGGTGTAAATCACACCCATCATGGCGATTCGATTAAGTATCAATTTTCTGACCAAACAATTTGGTTATTTTCGATACTCAAAATACGTATTGATACGATTCGATTAGATTGTTTTTTTTTTTGTTTTTTGTTTTTTTTTTAGCTTACAGGCTAGAAATTGTTTTAATTTTGAAATAAATCAATGAAAGCTGAAATATCGTTATGCATTTTATTTGAGAAACAACAGCAAATAAAAAAACCTCATTCACTTACGGAACCCGAAATACTTCCACACAAATGACTTGAATGGTAAGGGGTGTGCTATCTCCGCCATGTCTGTCTTGCCTACTGTTTATGCGAGTGTGCAGTGTTGGGCAAGCTACTTGTCCAGTGTAGTGAGCTAAGCTATCAGCTACTCAACAATAAATTAAGCTTCACTACACAACAGCTACCACCTAAAGAATTATAGCAAGCTAAGTTACACTAATGTGTTAAAAGTAGCTTAACTACATCAGAAGCTACTTAACGTTGTACCAACCTAATGTCAATTCAAAATGAGTCTGACACACTAGTTAAAATATTTATTAAAGATCAGCCAATGACATATCACAGTGTAAACATTGCTCTATGATCAGCATATTAAAATAAAAACTAAAGTAATTACTAGTAGACAAACTAGTAAACAATCTGCTGTTATTAGAACCAAATTAAAGGTACTGTGTAGTGTTCTACACACCGAGACATGGCTATGAGTTTGCATTCAATGGACATCTCTAGGGAAAACAAAACCCTACAAAAGACCTCAATTAAACAGTTGATTCAAGTAACAAACAAAACTGTTTACAAAAGAAGGTGAAAAAATAAAGAAGCTAATTAAGAGATACATATATATATGTCTCACCATTTAATTTAATTTCTACCTACATATTTATTCATTGTATTTTTGGAGGCAATTAATTGAATGCTTATTTATTTATTTATTGAGCATTTATTTATTTATGTATTTATTTTATATACGGTAGAGCTGTTCCTCCATAAATAAAAACATCTTGTCTGTGCAAAGCCTAAAAACAGATTTATGTAAACATCCTGTCAGGTAAACTAGGCCATGAAAACACAATATGCACTGAAAAAAAAATAGAGGTTGACAGAACTTACATTTTCTAGGCAACGTGATGCATTTGGTTTTTTGAGTTTTCCTTACTTAAATTCACTGTGGTTGAGTTTACAAAGATTTTTGAGTTCTGCCAACTTAGGTTTTTGGAGTGTTACATAGAAATTTTGAGTTCTACCAACTTAGGTTTTTGAGTTTCACCTTTAAGTTCTGAGTTCTATCAACTTTGTTTTATGAGTTTGACATATAGATTTTGAGTTCTACAAACTCAGATTTTGTAGTGTTATCTGCAAGTTGAGTTCTATCAACTCAGTTTTTTTAGTCCTACCAATCGTCTTCACTACCAATCATTCAACACACAAAAAATTATGTTAATACAACATTTTTATTGCTTCAAGCCAAACATTGCATCAATAGATACAGTATAAAACCATGTTCAACAACATAATCTTAACTGCACAGATCAAAGTAACCTGGCACTGGACCAGAATGTTCTAGATTCGTAAGAGGGATGATGAGGGAAAAAACAGTAAGACACCATTTTAGTAAGAGGAAAACACACAGGTAATTTTTTGTGAAGTAAGTGTATTAACATATATGAAAAAATAACAGTTTTACAAATTTGGACGGCCTTCAGTTTGTTTTTTTCAATTGTAGTCTCTTTAAATTGGGTGCACCCTTTAAAAAAAATAAAATGAAATAAAATGTCTTGTTTCCCAACGGAAAAAGAAAAAGGTTTTCCCTTTTTATCTCTGAGTTTTTCTTTTTAGTCCTACCACTCCGACAGGACGATGAATGCAAAAAAAGAAAGTCCTCTTCAGTCCAAATCCTTCTCTTCAGTCCAAATCCAGATGTTCACACGGTTGGCTCGCCATCTCCATTTAAGGAGAGAATCCAGAATCCAGGGTATCCAAAAAACCCTGCCTGCATAGCACAACAGGGCTTAGTTAAATCCATTCACTTCTTGTTCTTAACTGTACAGTTTATATCTCTCCAAGTATGATAAATTTCAGTGTGTAATGTAACTTTTCTAACTCATTACGAATTAACTGCTGCATTACAGGGTTAACATATAAAATGTTAATGTCACTGTTTTTCTTGTAAAGCAAATAAAATCATGAAAGCAAAAAATCCACATGTAAATAATGTAAATAACAGTAAATACCCACATCGGATTAAGAAAGTAAAATAATGTAGTCTTGTAATATTCTGTGCCTGAGTGCAACAACACTGCACTACATAAAACAAATTAGAAATTTCATAAGTTATTACTCTCAACTTAATGTCTCTTTTCATTTGTACAATGAA